CCTAAACACTTCAACTTGCGTTGTGGTGTGCGCTACTTATATTGATATAAGTAGTATATGACGCGAGTTAGGAACGTAATGTCTGGCATCAGAAGATGGGAGAAGATCAAGAAAGGAAGACCGGAAACACAATGCAATTTGTATGAAAATGCATGAACAACGAAATCTGAGACAATCGATTGATGTTTGCAACAGGAACAGTCAAGTTTGATATAATGGATTGATATTTTGCAAATGAACGATTTAATATATGGTTCACAGATTATATTGATATACTCTGTAATTATATGATTAAATACGTTCAATTGTCCTCGTTAGTGTTCTTGTTCACTACAGTGTTACTCATCCTTGTGGTTATAAACTAGGTTACTATGTTATTATGGATCATTTGTAAAATTAAGCTATATGAATTAAATAGTCATTTTATCATATTTAAACAGTATACTTCAGTCATATATCAAGAGTTTTGTGGAGATTATAGTCATTTCAATAGTTGAGATCATGAGTCAATTGAAGTTAGACCATCATAGAAAATTAGGAAGCCCTAAACGGCTGTTTTATTCTATTGTGCAACTCCTCAGCAGTTTACATTCATGTCCCCACCTCGTGAGATTCAAACTCAGGACCTATCAGTTTCGTACGAGAGTGTTATCAAACTTTAATAGAAAGTAATGAACAACCAGTTTCCATGGTGATCTAGCTTTAATTGACTCATGATCTTCATTATTGTAATGACTAAAATCTTCACAAAACCTCTTCTGATCTAATAGAAAGTGTTTCACTTTTTTTTTTCATTTCATTGACATTTTTACCCTAATGATAGGACTCGTTTACACACTCATAGGATAATCAATGTATTACATAATTCTTTCATTGGATTATGACCTATTCCATGATTTCTTATCTTCAGTTTTCAGCAGTCGTATAGTTGACAGTAAAAGTCGATAATGTTCACTATGAAACTTCAATTTAAAAACTGTTCATTTCAAAAGTTAAAAAGTTATCCACTTAGTTAGTTACTTATTTATGTGATGAATATAGGATTCTATTCCATTTGAAATGACTTGAATGAATCTATTTTCTTTTTTGATATTTTTGACTAAAATTTTAATCAATCTTAATTGGTATATTTGTATTCTGTAGTTGATGAATTATAAATGGGACGAAACTCGTGGTCTTATTTCCATCTAATCCAATAAAAACATTGTATCATAGTGACAATATCAAAGCAATTTGCATAGAATACACATATACCAACTTAGATTAATCAAATTTAAGCTAAAAACAATATTTAAATCATTTCAAATTGAATGATAGACTATTATTGTATTCACAAACTGCACCAATCTACAGTCTTGCACTCTACTAACTGAGCTATTATCCCTAAATGCCATGATACATCCGAGAGTGGGGAGAGTCACTTCTCCTTCTTGAAATGGTCTCACATGGCCATGTGTACACAACCATTGCCAGAGAAGTCCTACTCATTGCCTTCTCGCAACCGGTGTGTTAATTACGAAATCGAGAGGAAGAAAAGTGAATGTCCGGTGCTATAACCGAGTTTGTGGACACGGAAGTTCTACCTAGGAGAGTTGGAAGACCTTCATTCTAAATTAATGATGTACATAGGCTGCAGTATCCTGAGTGAACAAATGGCGTATAAACTAGTCGTTGGTCACCGGTTACCATGAAACTGCATCTCCTTACATTGCTCCATTGCCTTATGAATCAGATCTTCAGGTCAAAAGCTCCATGTGTGGCCCCCTAAGAAAACAACTTGCTTCGGTTTGAGCACTCGGACAGTATCTCAGCTCTCACACAAATCGAACGATTTATATGACGCATATCTGTTTGGTGCCTCCTTATGCCAATATTTATGTGTTTAAATAAATAATAGTATTGATAACCAATCGATTGAATACACAAATAATAAAGATACAATAATAATAGTATTGATGTATTTGAACCGATAGAATAAAAGTACAAAAAGGGGTTTGAATTTTCGTATGGGTATGTCTTCAATAAACCTTAGTAGACGCACCTTAACACTTTTATACAAAACCACAAAAACCGAGTTAAGATCAATCTTATAGCCTGTTTCGATTATATATTTAGCAATAGACGATGATGGATGTTTATTTTCTACTCTTATTGTATCTGTTTCTGCAACCATTTTGGTACATGTCCACACACCCTAATTTTGAGATCACTATTACTCCTCCTTATGTATGTGTGACCACACACACACACACACATTTAAATGGCTGAACACAGTGGGTTTTGAATGAAGCATGCACCTTGTTCTTTCTTTGATAATGACCTTTTCTGCGCAATATGTTTTATTGATGACTGACTGATTTAAGTCTTTGTTTCAATAAAAGGCTATTGAATTCATGAGTCAATTTAAGTTAGACCATGATGGAAAAGCTGAAAGTGCTGAATGGTTATTTCGTTTTACTATGAGATTCCTTAGTAGTGCATATCCATGATCTCATACTAAAGGAACTTGAACCCGGGACCTTTATGTGAACATATGTGAACGCTTAACGTGTAAATCAATGAACCAACATCCAATGGTGTTAATATCTAATATCAATCAATTCATAATCTTGTACAACCATTTATTTATTGTCTGAAGTAGACAAGTATCTCTACCTAACACGATTGTTTTCCATTGATCAGAGCTTCTCATTAGAACTACAGGAAGCCAGTAACTAATAAACAGATGATCATAATTATTAAAAAAAGTGGTTTATACTTAGATTATAGTTAGATATTAACATTGTTGGATGTTATTCAGCTTAGTGGTCTAGATGTTAAGCACGTGTTTAAGTTCTTTTATTGAGAAATTTGTGAATGCTCACAGTTGAAAAGTATCATACTAAAACAAAACAACCGTTCAGTGCTCTCAGATTTTCAATAATGTTGGGCTCATAAATTCAACGATTAAAATTACTATCAAAATAAATATATCTAAACAACATGAATAGGTTATAAGTTAATGGAATGAATGATAATCTAGAAATCTTGATATCATTCCTTAAGTATCATATTCAATAATATTGATTATATTACATCTTCTATAAACCTCTCTCTCTCTCTCGCTCGCTCACTCTTACTCACTCTATCACTCACACGCATATACACTGATGGTAACTTGATACTTAATACAGTAATTCAAATTAATCAATAAAAGTGAAATATTTAATCAATATAATAAATAACTGATAATCATATGATTTGATTACATTCATTCAAATCACTATCCGATTTGATATGGTAACAAAATGTTCATCATAAAATGGATTATTTATTTAGTCCCTAGATTTATATACGTTTTATTGATTAGAACTATTTTACATAACTATATAGGCTGTATTCGATATTTAGAAATCTATACAGTATCTATGAATTTATAAAGTTAAGTAACTAAAGATGATCTCAAATCAAGTATAAGATCTAATTAATAATCCTTACAATCTATTATGCTTTGATAAACATAATGATTGATAACTATTAGGATCTATTTGTGGATCAATTCTATACGTATATTTCTATTGTATAATTGTTAAGTAGATAAACTATACATATTCATATTCTTCTTATTATGAGCTTTGTTTTGACCTATGAACTATTATTATTATACAATTTATCATTGTTGTGTTAAGCTCAGTTTCCCACATTCACATCCACATTTGGTCAAATCTTGTATAAATGTTGTTTCCTATTTTATTAGTACGATGTGATCTGTTTGATTGGTAAATAAAACCCCGTATATTGTAGAGGTTGAGATTAGTCTTCTGGACTCAACTGACTGGATTAGGCGAAAAGTAGGACTAATAAGAACTCTAAACTGCTCATATGGATTTACGCGTCACTGCTCTCGAATTGATGGTATCATTAGGTTATACATGAACAGGGCACATAGGTCACAAGTTATAACACAACTATTCCATTGAAGAATATACTTGAAGATTTATAGATAATAAATGTTGTTTTTAGATAATTTTGTAATAGAAAAGAAGTAAACATTTCTTCTTTTAAATAATTAACTAACTAGAAATTGATCAAACAAACTAAAACTATGTTTATTATAAGTGTAAATAATTGCCAAGACCACAGTATAGTATATGCTACATATGTCAACAGATATAAGTAGTATGTTAACACTAATCGAAAGTGGAAACCTTAACAGTAGAAAGCTAAAAAGATCAAATTGAAAAGAAAACAAAAATGATAATAGAAAAGAATTATAACTTGAAAGAATCATACAAATAATGATGAACATATGATGTAAATTTACAAATCAACGATTCAATGTATAGTTCTTATATATTAGCAAGTGATTTTTCTACTAAAATACAATTAATCATTGAATTCATAAGTCAATTAAGGCTAAACTACTATAGGAAACTTGAAAGTACTGAACAGCCGTTTCATCTTAGTATAAGACTTTTCAACAATGAGCATCCACGATCACTCTTCGCGAGATTTGAACCCAAGAACTGTCAGTCTCCTGCGTGAACGCTCAACCGCTACACTACTGAGCTGGTATCCAAATGTGTTCATGTCTAACTTCAACTAATCTACGAAATTGAGCAACACATCCACCATTGTTATTAATGAATTACTATCTAACAACAGACTCATTTGAACTCTACTGGTCACTGTTTCTCACTAGAACTCCAAGAAATACCTCATGAAACTAATCATTAGTGAAGATTTTAATAATTCATGAGTTAATTAAAGCTAGATCAGCATGAAAAATCTGAAATCATTGAATAGTCGTTTCGTTCTATTATGAGACTCTTCAACATTGCGCACTTACTATCTTATCTCAAGAGACTCAACCTCACAATCTAACTTTAATCAATTCACAATTAATGATCATCACTTTATATTTTTAATCATAACAACAATAACAATAACAACAACAATAACAAACTAAATCATAATATGAAATTATCTATCTATCTATCTTACTATCATAATAAACTTACCTTCTAAGTATTTTGACAAAGATAAATATCCCTTGACCATCCGATATATCATCAACATATGAAATAGACATGATAGTTTATAACATGTAAACAATTCACGTATTATGAATCTGTATATCTCTCTTTATCTCTCTCGCTCTCTCTCTCTATATATATATACACGTTTCTTTGAAAGAAGAAACTCTTAAAGCCAAATATTATTTGAGTTCAATATTATGAATAGTTTGTTCAATATGAGTTTATCTTTACTTGGAAACAAAAATTATATATATATATATATATAGTACTATTCTCATTTACAGTAAAAGAATTTCTATTCTATTCATTTTGTTTTTGTTTTTGTTTTCTTTTGTTGTTGTTTTTTTTTACTTTTTCTTTTTATCATTTATGAATAATTTAATTAACTAATATAATTATTTAATTTTTGAAAAAATGCGTAGGTGTATAAATACATGCGTACGCGTATGTGTGCATGTGCGTACGTATGTGTGTATGAGGGTGCATGGGTATTCTCATTTGTGTATTGTTGTAGTTATTATTATCTTTGTTGCTTGATTTACTGATCGGAACAAATTAATTATCAATGATGATTTTGGCATTTTACAAATAATATTATATTTATTTTATTTGGAATTATTAACATCATATGATTTCAATTATGATTGGTTAATAAAATGAATAAGATATTATAATTGGATAAAAAATATGGCACAGTGATTAAATAGTGTGTGTGTGTGAGAGAGAGAGAGAGCGAGAGTGAGAGTAAAAGAGAAATATTTGCTTTTATTAATCGATAATGTAGTTTTAATGATGATACTACTCAGTGAATGTTTCTCTCTCTATCTCTCTCTCTTGCTCTGTGCGTGTGTGTGTGTGTGTGTGGATGTGTTTCTATGTGAAATATACGCGAAACTGTATAAAAATCAAATTATAAATCATGATATAAAAAAATATCTATGAAAGAGAAAAAAATAGATATTTACAGATAGTCAATCATTTGTAAAAAAGATTGAATTGTAACTTAGTGTAGTGAACAAGAACACTAATGGACACAATCGAATGTAATTGATAACAAATTACAGAACTTCTTAGTAAAATCTGACCATCCATTGTCTCAGAATGAATCAGACTTCCTTTGTTCTTGCATTTTTATACAAATGACATTCTGTATCCATTCTTTACTAGTCGATCTTCTTGTCTCTCTGTTGCTAGACATTCTGTTCACGACTCACGTCATATACTACTATGTCTACACACCACAACAGGACTTATTTAGTTATGACATTTAGAATCACAATTAAGAATTGATTGTCTATACATATATTTAAGCGGTTGATTTTTACCTAATTTGAATAATACAAAACATTTTTTGACTGTAAACATGTTTTATGTCTTGTAAACATTATTGTTTGTTTGATCACAAAAGTTAAAAAAAAACAGTCTACTGTAAATAAAAATAGATGGTGGCTAACTGTTGAAGCCAGTTTGATGCGGGTTTCGTCGTATTTTGGATTCGTTAGCTAGATGTACCTGTATCTCAGTGTTAATGTACGCTCTGGAACTCTAACCCATTACCGTTTGCTTCAGACGTCATCGTGTCATTCAATTAGCTAATGAGTCCTGGAGTAAACATCAACACTGAGATGCAAGTACATCCAGCTGACGAGTTCCATATAGGACGAAACACGCGTTAAACTGGATTCCACTGCTAGTCACTATCCATCTTTGCTTAGAAAGCTGGTGACTTAAGGTAATATCGAGGCAATCCGTACAACATGCACATATTGCCAACATGAGACTGATTGATTGCAGTCCTAAGCATCAATTGGAACAGTCAGGCAAACAATACTAAGTGGATTTGAACTTCATTCGATTGCATGAGTAAGTACCTATCAAAACTCAGTAGCTAAATAGATAACGTGGTGTAGTTTGAAGCAAACGTTACTTGGTTCGAGTCTTAAAGTGAACATCAACTCTCAGATGCAGATACATCTAGCTGACGTGTCTCAAATAGGACAAAACGCTCGTCAAACTGGATTCCACTTCTAACCACTATCGACCTTTGCTTATAAAGCTTGTGACTTAAGGTACTATCAAGGCAATCCATACAGGATGCACATATGTCAATAAGAGACTGATCAATTGCAGTCCTAAATAATAATGGGAAGTGAGATTTAGGATTATGAGATAATACAGTGAGTTTTGAAATAAACAATACTGGATTTGAACTCTGGATTGAATAAACACTCTGAAATGTAGGTAAAACCAGTTTACGAGTCGTAAACAGTACATATTGTACGTTATGAATTCCTTTTGGTTGAGATCATAAACCCGATTGAAGTTAGACCACTGTTGGAAACCTGAAAGCACTGGACAGACGTTTCGTCCTATTTTGGGACTCCTCAACAGTTCTCATCCACTAGCCTGCCCCACGAGATTCGAACCCAGAGCCTTCAGTCTTGCGCGTGAACGCTTTAACTATTGGACCAATAAGCCGGCATCAATCAATCCATGAAACTACACGACAATCTTCCATTGTACTGAGGTAGATACCTGTCTCTATCCGACATGGATTAACTCCACTATTCACGTTATGAATTCCATTGTAAATAATTTTTTATCTTAGAAGTTTTTATGTATCCTGAATCATAATTTAGTATTGATACATATATCGGCAGATGGTGAAAAGATTCTTAGTTGATATATAATTATATACATATTTGAATTCAGTAAAACCATTGTGTATTTGTGCATAGGCATTCTACTTCTTAGTTTAACTTATTATTGTATTGTTTTTCGTCTCCAAGTCATAATTACATAGTGTACAAATGAAGAAATTTCCAGAATAACGGTAATGATAGTAGTAACGTAGTAGACAAGAACATAGGTTGGTACAATCAAATGTATTTCAAATCATCATTGCAGAATATCTTTATAAAATCTTGGAACCATATAGTAAATACGTCATTTCAATGATTAAGATCATGAGTCTGTTGAAGCTAGACCACCATGGAAAACCTGGAAGCACTGGACGGCCGTTTCGTTCTATTATGGGACTCCTCAACAGTGCGCATCCACGATCTCGCCCCCTGCGAGACTCGAACCCAGGACCTACAGGCTTCGCGCGCGAGCACTTAACCACTAGACCACTGAGCCGGCATGCAACGGTGTTAATGTCTAACTTCAACCAATCCACGAAATTGAGCGACACATCCACCATTGTCTTCAGTGAGTTACTACAACTGACTCATGACCTTAATCATTGAAATTACTACAACCTCCACAAAATCCCTTCTGAAAATACGTCATTTGCAAAATATTCATCTATTATCTTAAACTTGATTGTTCTCGTTCTCTTCTCTTTAATTTTCTCAACGTTCTACCACTAGTAATTCTATTTCGATTGATGATACATACTACTTATATATGTCAACATTTGCAGCACATACTACAGTAGGAATAATAGTGAAGATGTAATCACCGGAAATTTTCAATCATTAAAATATGTTTTTCCATTGATGCTTCACTAGTCAAAGAGAATAAAGTAATCATACACAACATAACTTGATTTATTGAAAAGTAATAATTCAATATTTGAATTCAAGGGGCAAATATAGATAGAACACAATGGAAAATCTGGAAACACTGAACGGCCATTTCGTCCTAGCATGGAACTCCTCAACAGTGCGCATCCACGATCTCGCCTCGTGAGATTCGAACCCAGGACCTATCAGTCTCACGCGCAAGCACTTAATCACTAGATCACTAAGCTGGTCGTCGCAATTCAGCTTGATTGATATGCTGTATCCGGAGGAAGAATAGGTGAATGGTAACGGCTAAAATCTATTAGTGCACTATTATTATATATGTACTTATTGTATAACTACTAAGTAACTATATTATAATTATATTCATATTCCATTTATTATAAGCCACCATCTGATCTGTAGGCTATTATTATACGAAACCATGACCTATCGGTCTCGTGCGCGAACGCTTAACCTATAGACCACTTAACCGGATCAGTGCGTTCTGGGTTCAAAACTTGCAGGGCGGGATCGTGGATGAGCACTTCTGAGGAGTCCTATAATAGGACGGAACGGCCGTCCAAAGCTCCCAGGTTTTCCAACGTGGTCTAGTTTCAACTGACTCATGAATTCAACTATGAAACATTACTCTGATATCCACAAAACCCTTTGCAGTATTATTATACGGTTTACTAATCTTAAGATGTTTTCAATTTATTCGTAACAGTCTCTCACAACAACAGCCACTTTTGGCTTCATCTTGTATAATTAGTATCTTCTATTTTATCGTATGAAGCGGTTTGATTTGCTTGTGTATTAGCTGCGTATGTCTGAAATACATGATTCATATAATAGAGGCTGATATTAGTGTACTGGACTGAACTGGTAGGGTTAGGAGGAAAATAAATGCTTACACCGGTTGATATATGATTGGTTTGACACAGTACTAAGATTGAATATGTCATATTTCGATTAGAGAATAAATCACGTGATAGTTAGCTGGGCTTAAAGTCACAATAATGTTTAGATTGATATTTTGACTTATTTTAGAATTAGGCGAAAAACTACTATCTCGACAGACCGATAGGAACTGAGGATTGACTCTAGACTGTTCATACTGGCTTATACGCCATTGGCCAGGTCAATAAGTTGGCGTTTTAATTAGCGATCGTATTACGTGATAATTGATAGGCCATTAGAACATAACATGATATTATTCGGTTAATTTGATATTCATGAGTATTTTAATAAAGTTTGACAACTTCTAACAGTAAGATCTTAGATGCTCGCTTAGTTCGGTTTGGTACTAGTTAGCTGGGAATGGTTTGGTTCAAGTATTGGTCTTCATACTTAGGCCCAAACTTATTATCTTTCGATTTGACATAATAAAGCATCTTGACTGTGTTATATACGTTTACCCGGTGTTGATTTATCTTTCAGTTTGATTTCACTTACCGATTATTAAATTTCAAGGATTATAAACCTCTGTTTATAACAAATCTCATCATTTAAATTCACTGGATGTTGTTTAACTTGTATCTTCCCATCATTATTTACGATTGCAATCGATCAGTCTCATTTTGGCATATGTGCACCCTGTACGGATTGCCTCAATATTATCTTAAATCGCAAGCATTTTAAGCAAAGATGGATAGTGGCTAGCAATGGATTGCAGTTTGATACGTGTTTCGTCCTATTTGAGCCTCAACAGCTAGATGTACCTACATCTCAGTGTTGATGTTTACTTCAGGACTGAATAACTAAATGAATGACATGATGACATTTGAAACGAATAGTAATGGGTTCAAATGCTACAGTTAACATCAAATCTGGGGTACCTGAGTACACTCAGTTGATGAATCTCAACTAGGACAAAACACGCATCAAACTGGATTCCACTCTTTGTTTAAAACCTTCATCATTGTTTTTGATTCACTCACAAATTATATTTTTATCCTTAAAAAATAAATCATTGAGAACATAGAAGAGCAATGAACAGGTTTCCCAATTCTATCTTGATATTCTTTAACCATAATTACATACTATTCTATATATTTAAACCATAGAAACAAAAATGGAAAGAGAATAAAAAAAAGAAAGAAAGAAATCATTTTTCATTCAACCTACACATTGAAGAATGTTGATTATTTGGAACAATATAATATACCTATTATATAACAGATGTCTACTTATTAATGAAATCAAATATAAAACTCTCTCTCTCTCTCTGTATATATATATATATATATATATATATATATATATATATATATATAAGATAAAATGTTATAATATTGACTTTAGTACTCATTAAGAAGAAGATATTCTATAGACGACTGATCAATAATCATGAAATAGTAACTGGGCATTGAACT